TTTGCAAGTCTTACCCTTGTTACCGTTCAAACTGCCCCATTTTCTAATAGAACTTGGCTCTAGGTCCTCTTGACATGACCCAAGTCATATGTGGTGGTTTCCTTGCTATTTGGCATGTCAGAATGTTTCCAGAATGTCTCATCATGGTTTTAATTTACATTTCTCTGAATACTAGTGAGGTTAAGCATCTTTTCACAGGTTTATTGGTTTCTTCTTGAAATGCCTGTTCATGTCTTTTGGTCATTTTTGGTATGGGTCATTTGTCCCTTTCTTATTGACTTGTAAGGGTTCTTTATTTTTTCCCTAGATGTTTTTTCCCTAGTTTTGGTTGCATATTTGCAGATGTCTTCTCCCATTTTGGGGCTTGTCTTTTTATTAATAGTTTTGGTGTCTTTTGATGATCAGGAGTTATTTATGTAGTTGATTGATTGCTCTTTTCCATTATGGTTTTCACTCTTTGACTCTAGGAGCTTAATGAAAGCATGGAATATTTATTGATTGTCCATTGCTAATCTGAAACCCTTTCAGAATAGTCCCAGCACATGGTCTGGGATCAGAGGTGGAGGCCAGTTGTGGGTGTCAGTCCTCAGGGCCATAGTCTTCATGGCTTTTTAAAAGTTGTCTTATAATTAGCTTAACACAGTAGTGTGTCTCAGTAAATGTCATAGTCTAGTTTTTCACAGGTTTTTAGAAATGCAACAAATTACTATGTTAGAATGATTGCTAAAGGCCAACAATAACTAATTATTTAAAGGGCAGGAAAATATATACAGAAACATAAACCTGTTACCAACATGAAAACTGAGCAGGACTTCTAAAACTAAGCTTTTAATAGTTTTATTAAGCCCTTGCTGGCTCAGCAGGAAAATGAAAGGGAAGCAGCAGCTACCACCTCCAGCGAACATGCCCTGCTGCTTCTTCCTTCATTCGAAATTCCTCAGCTCTCTATAAACACGTGAAAGTTTAGCTGAAGGTAAATTATGTAATTCAAAAATTTTCGTCTTCGAAATAAGCCAGTCACAGAAGGACAAATACTGCATGAATCCACTTAAATGAGGTATCTAAAATAGTCAAACTCATAGAAGCAGAGACTAGAATGATGGTTACCAAGGGGGCTCTGGGGAGGGAGGGAGGGGGAGTTGCTTAATCAACAGGTGTAAAGTTTTAGTCAAGCAAGGTGAATAAGTTCTAGAGATCTGCTGCACAACACTGTGCCTATAGATAACAATACTGTATTGTACACTTAAAAATCTGTCAAGAGGGTAGATCTCATGTTAAGTGTTCTTACCATTATAAAACTTGTTTAAAAAACTAAAAATGTGATGGGTTTTCTAGAAAGCTAAAGTTGTTCTGAATTTGGGCCCTTCCTTTCTAGTTTTTTGCTGTATTAGGCAATGATTCTTCTTTCCTTTTTCAAACACCATTACTTAGCAAAATAAAAAGTTAGAAACCTTGAAAAAAAATCACTTCTTCTTTAGAAAGGATGCACTTTTGGTATCAGCTGGCAGGATGCAGCGTTGCCCAGGGGCTAAGGAGCCTAAGAGGAAAGGAGCAGCAGGCTCCCACCCTACCTCTGCCTCTTACTAACCTTGGAACCTTGGCAAGTTACTCCAGCACCCTGGGAACTGGGGGTAGCACCTCCTAGGGCTGTTTTGAGGATTGAGTTTATCCATATGAGGAACACATAAAATGGACAGACTCTAGCACATGATAATCACCAACTACCACTCATGTGACACTGCACAATTTCACTCCTGCCTCAGAAGATATTGTCTACTGATACAAAATCAAACCACACCTCATAGTCAGGAGTCCACATATGATTGTTTTAATTTTCTATTGCTACTGAAACAAATGACTGCAAATTTACAGGCTGAAAGTAATACAGATTTATTTATCTTAGCTCTGTAGGTCAGAAGTCCAATATTAAATCAAGGAGTCAGCAGGGTTGCATTCCTATCTAGAGGCCCTAGGGGAGAATTCCTTTCCTGCTCATTTAGGTTGTTGACAGAATTCAGTTCCTTGAGGTTGTAGGACCATGGTCTGTTTTGCTGGCTGTCAGCTAAGAACTGTTCCAGCTTCCTTCCTCCATCTTCAAAGCCTTCAGCAAGTCCTTTTTAAGTCCCTTCTCTCTGACCTCCTCTTCTCCTTGCCTCTTAGACTACAGGCAGTCCTATGATTTGTTTGGGCCCACCCAGATCATCTAAAATAATTTCCCTTTGCCATGTAAAGTAACATAGTCACAGGTTCCAGGATTAGGCCACAGACATCTTTGGGGGGTCATTATCCTGCGTACCACATCCAATGAACTAGAATTTTGTTGGGATCTTTAACAGGTCATTTATCCTTACCTTTTATTTTTTCATCAAAAAAAGTTAACCTACCATATAGGCTAGGTAATGTTTATTGAGCACTTGGCTGTGAACTTGGCCCTGGGCACTAAGCTCTTTGCTCATGAAGAGTCTGTGAGGCAGGTTCTATTATTGCCCCCATTTTACAAGTGAGGAAATCCTACATTTTGGAGAAGTTAAGTAATTGATGAAAATAATTCAACTAGTGAGAGACTCAGACTTTTCCGTAGGCTGCTGTACCTTAAAGGTTTGCCTGGCAATCCCTCTTCACATGGCAGTGCATACTAGTAAGAAATCAAGGCTTTGATTTTTAAAAAGGTTCTGTTTTGCTAACAGAAATTGTCCTTCATGTTTGTGGACATGGAAGAAAATAAATTTAAAATCCAAAACCAGATCCATATTAAAATTAGATTATAAGGAGAATGAGTTATAAAATATTTTTTAAAAATAAGCTGTTTCTTTGTCTACAAATGCAAAAAAAATGATTTCTGGCTTGTGCTAAATCATGAACTACATTTTGAAGTCAGAATGTTATTTTCTTTGAGATCATGGCAGTCTCTGCCAAGAGAGGTCTTATTTGTAATAGGGTCGGTGGATGGGCTCAATATTTTTTTAGTGAGAAATTGAACTGTCATGTTTTGTTATACTGTAAGTGATATGTAATCAAACAATTTTCCTAGCAACAGAGTTGTTTTCCTCAATCAGAAGAATGTTTTTGTGTGCTCATTTTCTTCTTGTCTAAAAGATAAGAAAGCTTATGAATTTAGCATCTTATTTTTTGAGATCAAGGTACTGGCAAGCATAGATAGTAGAATATATAAGAATATCATTGGCAGTACTTGCCAAGCATTATGTTAATTCAGACCTAAAATACATTTAACTAGGTAGAGAACCACATTGTTTTTATGCCAGACCCAGTTGTTGGACATGGTTATCTGACTCGCCCTCAAAGCCTCTTTTTATCTCTTCTTGTTCTTCATCAATCATATACTCAAACTTTTTTTTACACTCATCAGATCTGTAGGTTCTATCCCATTTCATTTGTTTATTCAAGAGATATTTGACTACTATGTGCCAGGAGGCCCCAGGGATAATCTGCCCTCATGAAGCTTACAGATTAATGAAGGATTCAAACATGAAAGAAATAATTACACAAATCAGGAAGTGCACGGGTGCTATGAAAGTGAATAAAAGGTTCTAACTGGAATTGAAGGGCAGGATACAAAGAAAGCCTTGATCTAAAGGATGAATAGCATTTAGCCAGGAAAAAATTGGGATTGACCAGTCTAGACCAAGGGGTACATTTTGCAAAGGTCTTGTCCCAGTAAGGAGTTGGGCAAGTTCAAGCAACAGCGAAAAGGCCTCTGGCGCTGTATCGTGCGTGTGTTCGTGTATGTGCACATGTGGCACAGGGGTAGGGAGTGGCTCCGGAGTATAAGGGCGCAGGTGCTGAATCCTGTAGAGCTCCATTCCAGAGCATCATGTAGACCTGAGTATTGTATGTTGATCCACCAAGCAATGCATATAACCTTGTTCCCCAGAACTCCACTCTCAAGTGGATGTGGTGGCCATATAATTTATCATCCAAACCAGGATACTCTTGGGAGTGATAGGAGACACATTAATTATACTGGGACAAGTATAAAACCGTACTTAGAGACCAAGTTCTCAGCCAGTCCAGTGAGCCGCAAAGTTGCCTAGAAACCACGCTCTGAAATGACAGCGTTGGTCACATGTTCCTTTTTTCTCACCTTTTTTCCTGCCTTCACCCATAAATAACTCTCAGAAAGGGCCACCAGGAGAACCTGCACCAAGTCTGGAGCACAGAATCACAGCCCCATTGCCCGCCCAGCTGCAGCCTGGTGTGTTTCAGACTGGCAGCTCACGAGAGCGCGGATCTTTGACGGGAAGCAGGTGTTATTAACGTGTTTTCAGAATTAAACTCTCAAAAACCTATAGGAGAGAAAGTAAGGCCTTAAACACTTAGCACATGAACTTTTCCCATTAGAAACTTTCCTACACCACTTCTCCTGGATGACATGGCCTAATTATATGTTCCCGGATGGCGGCCAGGCAGAATGGGTGTGGTCCCATTCTAACTTCTTTCAGAATAAACATGTTTTATGAATTGGCCCCTATGCTGGCTAGTGCATGGAGTGGAGTACCTACAGAAAAGCCTTCCCATAGGTATGCAGCCTTCTTCAACTATGACAGCGGCATGAAGTAATAAATCTTCCTCTTTCAGGAACTAAGAAATCTTTTCACTATTTATTTGATTTTTCTTTTTTTATAGAATCAACTGTTTGGCTGAACCTGCATAATGAGGATTAATGCAGCTTTATTTCCTGCCCTCTGTGCCCAAGTCACTCTCTACAGCAGGGCCTCAGGGAGCCCTAGGAGTTTCTTCCTTTTACTGAGAAACGGATCACTTAGCAGTAAAATAATATTTAATGGTTGGCGACTGTGAACATGGGATCTCATTGCCCTCGGCCTTTCTTCAACACCCCCCAAGCCCTGAATAAAATGGCTTGACCCCTCGCCAAAATAATAATATTTAATGTTTGTATTCAGCCAAATACCGAGGACACTTTGAGGTGTTTCACTATTTCTTTTCAAACTGCATTAAAGCTCTTACTTTTGTTTTACAAGCCAGGAAATGTGAAGAATTCACCTGGAAATAAGTAGAAAATTCCATTGCCTGCCCATTTTAATCAGGTAAAGAACAAGAAAATACTGTGGTTATTTTTAGCATTATTAGTGATAGTTGAAATGACTTCTCTTTAGTTAATTTAATTTAATTAATTACAGCAGTTCAACTTGATGTGGAAACATAAGGAAGGGTCATATTTTATTCCATCTTTAATTTCTGGACTTAAATGCCATGTTTATTTACTTGTGTTTGTTCCAGTGATGTACCTGGGTTTTTTAGATAAGCTAGAACCAGACAGTTGGGATTTGTCTACAAATCTATTTCAAACAATTGAAAAGTACCGTTATTTCTTAACTTTATTTTTTTTCCAAACAACATTTTATTATAGGAAGTATACTTGTATTCATCTAATACTCAATAAACACTTGAATGCATGACTGTTGTAGAGAACCTCAAGATTATGTAGCGATATCACCTTAAGTGACATAGGGAATTCCTTGTTTAATTATTATTAGGTGTAATTATTCCTTCCTTAAAGATTGAATAACCTGAGGCTATAGCAATTTAAGATATCAGATGAAGTCAGAAAATCAATGAGATTTTTTCTGGTCTTATACTCAAATCACCATTTATTTTCATTTATTTGTTCAATATTTACTCATTGAGCACCTACCAAGTATAAAAACAGTAGATATATTGATAATATTTTGTATATATATTAAAAGTTGTATAAGAGCACTTGTGATTTCCTGGTAATTAGAAGATTATATTAATTTTGGAAACAACCTAGATATTCAACTATAGGAAAATGGTTTAATTATGGTATATCCATAAAGAGGAATATTATTCTGTTTCAACAATATTTAATTACTTGGGAACATGTGCACAATTATTGTTAAGTGAAAAAAAAAGGTAGTGTGATACATTTTTAAAGGGGATAAAGACCAGGAGATACAACAGAAAATTTAAGTATCTTTTGATAGTAAGATAATACTTACATTTTAATTTTCTGTATTTTCAAAAATTTTCTGCAAGGAATATGAATTTATTTAATAATCAGAAAATTTTTAAAAATTCAGTTACATTTATTGTAAATCATGGCTGCTATTCAAAATTCATGAAAACCCTGGGTTTTAAGTGTTTCTTTCTCAAGCTTTCTTCATATTTTTGGAGATCCAGAGAGTCATATAAACTTAGAATTTGAGAGAAGTCATCTGGCCCAGCCCCCAGCCTCAAGCAGACTCCTCTGTAGCCCTGTATCTTCCTCCTTTTATACCACCACTGATAGGAAACTCACCCCATGGGGCAGCCATCTTTGGGCAGTTCTGAGTTTTAGGAATCTGTTTTTCTACTAAGCAAAAATATGTCTCCTTGTGACTCCTACACTGTGGTCACAGAAAACAAATCCAGTTCCTCTTTTACATCACAGCCCTTCATATAGTAACCCAAAGCCAGTAGTTCTCAGATACAAATAACTTACGGGGGAGCTTGTTAAAAGGCAGAAGCCTAGGCCCCATCCCAGAATCAGCTTCTCTGGGGAATGGGGCCAGATGTGCATGGCATGTGCCATTAGAAAGGGGGCAGCGGTTGGCAGATAGAGGGTGCACAACCAGAGAGCCACACATATCTTCTAGAGACTTTACATTGAATATGGTTGTATTTCTCCACAGGGACAATGAATGAGATATAGAATAAAGGGAAACTAGGTAAATATCCATTTTAGTTTTCAAAGATATTCTGGATCAGAGTTCAGCTTGCTGTATATACAACCTTGATTTCATTTTTTTTTTAGATCTTTATTGGAGGAGATATAGTTACATTATAAAA